CGGGAGGGGCCCTGTCCTGCACATCTGGCCCTGCGCCCCTGTGAGCCGGGCGCCCCAGGGCACACGGGGACGCCCAGGCAGTGAGGCCAGGCCCCCGCCGCGTCCTGCCTGAGCCCCATACCTGGACAGACCTGCGTCGGGTTGGGTCCTGGGGCCACCGGCCCGGCCATCTGACCAGGACAGGCCCCAGCAGCTTGCTGGGCCAGTGGGGACTCAGGGCAGGAGCACCTGGGCGGTCCCGGGGTCACTGGGCCCCTAGTAGGGGAACGCGTCCGGGACGCACCCCCGTAAACCCCAGAAGGGATGGAGCTGGTCTCAGGGCTGGGGCGGGGCTGCCCCTGGCCGCCTGGGCTTGAGCCACCTTCAAAGGGGACGCCGCGGCTGAGCCACCCCTGGGCCTAGGAGTGCCCAGCCCCCTGGCCGGGAAGCCCTGTCCCTCTGCCCCAGGCTACAAACTGGACCGCCTGCACCCTGACCCCAGAGCCCCACGCTGGGCGCCCAGGGACGCTGGCCCAGTGACGGCCCCCCGCCCGCACAGCACATCCCTGGAGGCGCTGAAGAGCCTGCTGTCCACCACGGGGCACTGGCAGGACTTTGCCCACCTGGAGCTGCAGAGTGCCTGGGAGCTCCTGGCCGCGGTGCACACCTACCCGCAGGGCGTGGGCCTCCTCGCCAGGTAGGGCCACGCCGGCCACGGGCCAGGAGCCGGGTGCGGGAACACAGCCCCGGCCGGCCCGTGAGCTGCCCCGGGCCCAGCAGGAGCCGTGATGCCCACCCCCCTCAGCCCCACAGGACCTAGGCCACCCTGGGGCAGCATCCAGCCTGCTCACTCCTCCGTCCACCCACCCACGCCGGCCCCGGCTGGCCTGTGCGGGCGCCGGGCGTGGAGGACACACGCAGACAGTGGGCTCCCCACAGCACTGCCCGGGCCCTGGCCCAGCTGGGCGGGGCGGCGGGGGGTGGGCACGGGCGGTGCCCACCAGCCCGGCCTTGCTGCCCAGGGCCATGGTGCAGAACAGCTGCCGACAGATCAAGGCGGTGACCGTCCAGCTGCTGCCCCAGCTGCAGAGCCCGGAGGGGCGGGAGCGCAGGGCGGCCGTGCTCGTCCTCATGGAGGTAGGGGCGCGGCCGGGCGGGCGCAAGAGGGCCGCGCCTCCCCGTCGGCACCCCAGCAGGCCGCGAGACCCCGCCACGGCCCCCCCGCCCCTCACGAGAGCCCAGGGCTGGGGGCCAGCCCAGAGACGCCCGCTGGGCCTGACGGCCGCCCTCCGGCACAGTTCCTCTACAGCCCCGCCCTGCTGGACGTGCTCCCCAGAGACGAGGCCCTGACCTTGCTCTCACGGAGCCTCTGGGACCCCGACCCCCAAGTCCGCGTCTGGAGCCTGCAGGGCCTGGGGAACATCCTTTTCCACCCCGAGAAGGTAGGGTGCGGGGTCCGGACACCCCCGCGGCTCCTGCTCTGCCCTGGGCGCTGCGGCTGGGGACACAGCGTGGCCCCCTGGCCGCCTCCCCACGTCCGGGAGAGATGCACGGGGCAGCCCTGCGCCCCAGAGAGCCTCCGGCTGCCGCACCCCCACCCCCATTGCTGCCCCACCAGATGCCCTCAGGGAGCAGGGGCAGTGCTGCCCTTGGGGCATCTGGCCGCCTCTCTACAACCCAACCAGGCCCCTGAATTCCTGGCACCATTGCTGTGGGATCTGGGGTGCTGAGCCTGGACGTCCAGGCAGGGACAGGTCACCAGCTCGTCCAACTCCCCGCCCAGCCTCAGGGCGGCAGATCCCTGCAGTCCTGTGTCCAGACCTGGGAAAGGGGCGCCGTGTGTGTCGCGCTGCAAAGGGCCGTGTCTCGGCGGTAGGGCAGCCCACGGGGCTCCGCAGGCGCGGGGCGCCCCTGCACCCCACCAATAGCAGTCAGGTCCGCTGGGGGCCTCCGTGCACGAGATGCCCAGGGAGGCCACTTCTGTACTGTCCGTCCACGGTGGGGCCAGCCTCCCGGCCGGTGCCACACCGCTGCTTCCCCCCGGTGGGTCTCTGCGGGGTTAAAAGGCGCTGTCCAGTGGGTCTTGCTAGCAAAGCCCTTCACGCTGGACACGACACGACAGGTGCTGGAGGGGAGATGCCGTTGATCTGTGCACCTACCACGCGCCTACACCCCGCCCACGGGCCCACACCCCGCCCACAGGTCTATACCCCGCCCACGGGCCCACACCCCGCCCAC